AACGTGTTACTTTATCACTTGTGGTAAAGGCCCAGTTTATGGAGAAATTAAATCAGAACGCGGACCCTTTTTAAAAGTACTGTTCATCTTTGCAACTATCTATCATAGGATTTCTATTATTTTCGACTGCGATATTACCAAGGTTTTTACTTAGACAACGATACAGAGCAGTAAATGACAATCTAGTGGTGGTAGTTTGTAGCGATGAACAGTACTATTGGAATATTGTGGAGATGGGGCCTTTTTTTTTGCTGTTGAAGCGAAGAATGACCGCATTTGGTCAGCATTCTCGACGTGACCTCTCTTTTTCGTTATAAAATGATTAGTACGAGCGTTTAGTAAAGTTTTTTCTATGTTCTTCTTACGATCCGCATTTTTCGGGTTAGCAATTACAGGAAATAACTCCGTGAAGTACAGTTCTTCGAATCATCTGTCAGAATCGAAAAACTTTAAGCTCGTGATATAGTGCTGGCACGCCTGTAATGTTACGCCGTAAGGGCTTTTATTGTCACCATAGGGCGATTTGCCGACATAGGTAGCTAACTCTTTATATGCGATGGTAAACCATGACGAAAATGGAATTAACGATAATAAGTGAGCTAGTACGCAACAATTTACACTGGAACTGAGAGGGTGGCTTATTGCAAGATTGATGAAGCAGTATCTGGAACAAATGTCACTCAAAGGATAACACAGCCAAGAATTTAGGGAGAAAATGGTAGAGCGAAACAAAATGAGGCCAAACTACTATGAGCCAGCGCAGCTCCGATAATAGATTGTTAAGGTAAAGTGTATTTCACGCCACTCAAAGTAAGATTACAATCCTGCCTCATCCTATTTACTCTTAGGGTCGGCTCATCGTAACCTATTGTACGGTTGAAAAGAAATTAGTAACAGTCATACCCATTCATGTTGAGTGATGTGCAAAACTTCCGCGTTAGGCGGGCTCCAACCTGCATTTATACTATCCGGGGCGTGCGCGCTTCAATCCGTTTCACCGCCTACCCCTGTCTTATCCACCACTCTTACGCTACAACGCATCAACCTGTCAGCAACCAACCATCAACGATTTCTGGTGGTCGATATCGACTTAAACACAGTTACGCTGACAGATATCGGTTATATACGTTAAAGGCAAAAATTCTTTTCGTTTAACCGCTCCATAACGGAGGTATGATGTTACAAACATAGCCAATGATGTTGAGTGATGTGCACATGATGGAGCATGCTCCCCTGGGGTGAAATGCAGGTTCGAGTTCCGTCTGACGCAAAAGTTTTGCACATCACGCAACTTCACTAGTATATTTGTAACATCATGCCACCGCTATAAAGCGGTTGAATGAGACGAATTCTTTTCTTTGACATATAGTTGCACTTTTCAGATTTGATCTATGTTTATAGTTGGTCGTCGTTGTCATTACCTTGCAGAATGAAATCCTTGATTCGAGTTTTGCCCCTCTACTGGGTTCGATTTTATGCGAGTACAAATTTCCACATTGAGACGACGAGTGACGGTAGAGCGTGGAGCGTTGAAGCGGCTCTGAGGAGGGCGAAAGCGTCGAAATGTTGGCCTAACAGATGTTCTTAGACCAACTTCTTGTAAACTCAGTAATATAGAAATATAATGTTGATTGTTGGCGATATTTAAAGGAAGTCGACTCCTGAAGAAAAGTCCAAACATATATTGTTCATTGACATTTCCAAACGTTTATGAGACAAGCGGCTATGCTGAAGCCCTTGTCGATGGTTTACTGAACGAATTTCACTTTTTGTAAGGCAATGGTAACTCGCTAACCCGTTATTACGTTCTTGCCAGCCTTCAGATCAAATCAAATAATGCAAGCCTTCTGCACTGAGCAAGAAGTGGTTTCCACCATGGTCACCTTGAGGCTTATCACCTTACCTGCAGTGTGACATGTTCAGCGTCGATTCCCTTATATATAGGGATTGGCTAAACCGAAAGGCGTGCTCTGAAGAGGCTTGCTAGATAAAAACCGGACGTATGCCTGGCACTAGAGCTGCCATAACAGATCTCATGAAAGGTTGAATATGTTGTCAGGATGCACAAAGTCTCAAGCGAGGTATTGAAAAACAGTAAAATAAAAAGGCAGGGAAAGTGTTTTCTATGAGGTACAAATTCTATCCTACTGCTCCTTTTTTACAGTTTTCTTTGGAATTCGTCATTTATTGCATTCACGCATAAGTCGTCGAAACTACTGAGTTAAGAAGAAGAAAAAGAAGTTCACATAATTCAAAAGTTCGACTTTCTATAAACCTCGGCATAATTAATTATTATATGAAAATCGAAAAAACTTATCTTGACTAGCTGACGTGAGGTTGGTATTAGACTAATACTACATGCGCCCAGGGCGGGTCGCCGAAACGTCAGCCGAACTTCTACGATTAATTTACCTCGTGTCAGCTAATTAAGATAAGTTTTCTCGAGTTCACATAATGTTCTGTCTTCTGGATACGCATGTGGCGTATAGAGGTGTCTTGCAAAACACGCGCGGTCGTTGCTCTGATCTATCCCAAAATCGCTAGACCTTCTATCGCTAGAAGACCGGTAAATTGATACCAAGCTTGTCTAACAGGATAGCGGCACTGACTCGATTTATTGATATGCAACCACGAGGCATTGTGAAAGCTAGAAATGCATTTGATGCCTTTAACGATGCTTCATGGAATGGGATATATGGCGCATTCTTAAGTGATTGGGCCAAAGCCAAAAGCTTCAGCCTTCATTTTTTTGATGTTGCTTTTCAATTTGGTACTCCACGTCCACATGGTGTAACTCAAGGCGGTGTAATTCTGACGAAAGATAGTTTTTTCTATTGCGGTGATAATACATGAAATTTATCGCTCCATAATAGGTTTGTCTCAGAATGTGCAATACTGTCGCTTCTATGGAAGAAATAACTTCATGCCTAGTGCAGAAGAATTGCATTATTTGTGCTGGCAAAGACGGTTATCAAACCAAGCGTCGATCTTGCAACTTAAGGATCGGTGTGTTCAAAAAAAAGGAATTTTGGGTGAAACTAATCCATTTTAACAGATATCAATCCACTAACTTTGACTTTGCTTGGTAGCTACAAGAACTTGAGTTCGTACTTCAGTTATGACGGATATAAGAAAGCTGAACGTGCCAAAACAATCAGAGTGAAGATCTGGTAAAGTTCTTGTTTATACTCATAATAGAATGAATATTAATTAAGAATTGCTTGGTGATTATATTTTACCTATCGAAATGCTTAGATAATATAGAGTTTAGCAAGGGGGCTGGCTCGCCGTTGATAATGATTTTTGAATGTGGTGATCGTTGCTAATGAGTTGGACGTGTTGGTTAATTGATGTCGCTGAAGGATGCTGAGGTTGACGCGAGTGAAATATTAGATTTATTATAGACAGTATCAAGACAACCTAAAATATATATGTATAAATTAATACAATAATAACACAACAAGAGCACAACAACAATAACGACATATAACTGCAACTCAATGATATTGAAATATGACTGATCGTGTGGGTACAGTGGGACGATGAGAGCTGAGATGGATGAGTAGTCTTCGGGGCCGGACTAGGCGGTGGACCTCGGGAAGCAGTTATGCTTGCCCCGAGCAGACCTGTACACCGAGGGTGGGAACCAGTGGGTGATTAAAATATGTTGGAAAACTGGGGGGTCTGTATGCAAGGACTGGACCTATCCCCGGTGGCGGGGCCAACAGAACCCCAAAGGACTTGGTCCACCGCCGTAGCTCCAAGCTCCGTTCACAAAGTATAAGCCTCGTATCGACACAAACAATAATAATCAATCGAAGGCAGGGTCAATAGACAATGTGGACCACATTCACTTAGTACACAGCAACGAGGGCAGAGTCAAAGATTTAGAGTCAGAACAGAAGCGGAGAATCAACGGCAAAAAGGTGGCAGAGTATGGCAAGGGGAGACACGCCGACCAGGACGCCAGCACGACTCGACACTGACCGCCGCGCCGCAGCAGCGGGCGGCGCGACCATTGGTTAGGTACCGCAGCGATGTCCCTGGGCATGGTATCGTCCACGATCGCTCTCAATTGCTCAGAGAAGTAGCGACCCAATCCGTGGTTTGCTACAGCAACACTAACAGAAAAATTGCCTGCAAAGTCGAAGTCAAGAATTGTTAGTTAGCTCAAAAGCTATCAAAAATTGTCCACGAAAAGAAAGATATCTTGGAAAGCTAAAATGGTTCTCTAACTTCTATATCTTACTGGTCACTGACAACCTATTACCGAGTTTTGGGATGAATTTTCAAGCGTATAAATTAAATACACATTCTGAACGATAATGCGCACAGTAATCTTCCCCGGAAGGCCGTCTGCAATCTTGAAACAAAGAAAAATTTAGAATCAATGCTTACCGATAATGGCGATAACAGGAATAATGTCAGATCTCCTATCGAGTTTTTTTATCATGTTTAAGAGTTTCTACGTAGTGCTCCAAAGGTAAAGAGGTGGCGGAGTATGGCAAGGGGAGACACGACCGATCAGGACGCCAGCACGCCTCGATACTGATCGCCGCCCGCAGCAGCGGGCGGCGCGACCACTGGTTGGGTCCCGCAGCGATGTTCCTAGCCATGGTATCGTCTACGATCGCTCTCACTTGCTCGGAGAAGTAGCGACAGTTCCGTGGAACGGTTGCTACTTCTCCGGCAGGCCAAGGGTGCCCCCGGCCACCGAGCGATTAATAAGTGGAGCGGAATCCGCCTAAACGAAGAGAATAAGAGGTGCACGAGGGAAACAAGAAGGAAAAAACCCCTGAGTCTTTCCGTTCTCATTGAAGGCGTTCGCCGCTGGACGCGTGGACGTTATCGGCAACGTCAAGGCTTTCTGTGGAAAAGGACGAAAAAAGAGAAAAGAAAGCGATCTGTAAATAAAGTAATTGTGTATTTGGACAAAAGATTTGGTTCCGCTAGTAACTGCAATTTGATGTGGACCCGCCCAAGTTGAGGTTGTCTTTAGTGCAAAAGGTGGTTCAATGGTAGAATGCTCGCCTGCCACACGGGTGACCCGGGTTCGACTCCCGGCCAAGTGCACCAGTTTTAGCAACGAAACTGGCCCGACGCTGCTAATGTTTTTTGGATGTGGCGATCGGTAGCTCGAAGAGTTCGGCCGATGCACCAGTTTTAGCAACGGGATTTAGTCCTCCGTTGCTAATGAGTTGGACGTTTTGCTGATTGATGTCGCTGAAGGATGTTGCGGTTGACGCGAGTGAAATATTAGATTTATTATAGACAGTATCAAGACAACCTAAACAATATATATCACCTGTATTACCTGTCGTCCAGTTGATCGTCGAGTGACTAGAGCGGGTACCAGCAACTCTTCCATTTTTCCCTATCGTGTGCAAGAGTAGCCCAGTGGGTCTTCCTCGCTCTAGGGATTCGCTGGGCATCATATCTTTCTTCCATCGCTTTAGTGAAGAAATCGGACCAACGGGTCAGTGGTCTTCCTTTAGAGCGCTTGACGTCCCGAGGAATCCAGTCGGTAACGGCTCTCGTCCATCGGTTGTCGTTGAAGTGCATCACGTGTCCGGCCCACCTTATTTTCGATATCCTTGCGTGTAGAACGTCGTCTCTGATTTTCGATCGTTGACGTAGGTCTCAACTTCGGATCCGTTCTCTCATTTGCGAAATACGGGATACTCCTATCATCGACCTTTCGACTGCGCGTTCGATAACTCCAAGTGATCTTTCATCCTGCTTACGTAGCGACCAGGTTTCTGCTGCATACGTTAGGGCAGGGGTAATTGTCGAGTCGAAAAGGTGGGCACGGAGTCGGATGTTCTTTGTCCTCTTCACTGCATCTTCAATGCTCTTAAACGTTCCCCAAGCCGCTCGTTTCCTCCTGCTCAACTCTGGGGCTAGGTCGTTCATCATGTTGATTTCACGACCTAGATAATATAATATAAAAATATATATAATATAAAATATATATATATTATATATACATTGACAAATGATAACACAACAAGAGCATAACAACAATAACGACATATAACTGCAACTTCAATGATATTGAGATATGACTGATCGTGTGGGTACAGTGGGACGATGAGAGCTGAGATGGATGAGTAGTCTTCGGGGCCGGACTAGGCGGTGGACCTCGGGAAGCAGTTATGCTTGCCCCGAGCAGACCTGTACACCAAAGGTGGAAACCAATGGGTGATTAAATATATTAGAAAACTGGGGTCTGTATGCAAGGGCTGGACCCATCCCCGGTGGCGGGCCAAACAGAACCGCGAAGGACTTGGTCCACCGCCGTAGCTCCAAGCTCCAATCACAGATTATAAGCCTCGCCTAACGACACAAACACTAATAATCAATCGAAGGCGGGTCGATGGATAATGTGGACCACGTACACAGCAACGAGGGCAGAGTCAGAGATCTAGAGTCAGGACAGAAGCGGAGAACCAAAGGGACAAAGGTGGCGGAGTATGGCAAGGGGAGACACGACCGATCAGGGCGCCAGCACGACACGATGCTGAGCGCCACTCCGCAGAAGTGGGCGGCGCTGACCGCACCCCGCAACAGCGGGCTGAGCGACCATTGGTTGGGTCCCGCAGCGATGTTCCTGGCCATGGTATCGTCCACGATCGCTCTCAATTGCGCGGAGAAGTAGCGACGTTCCGTGGAATGGTTGCTACATACAGAGCGCGAACGAGAAGTGTCAGCGAACGACTACCGGTTTCATGTTTCATTAGTGATCGTGTAGGCCATTGGTATTTACTATGTGCCGTAAGGATTCGAGCGTTGTGTACTGTTAGGTGCGTCGATGATGATTATGTCGACTGTAGTGAGCATCGAAGGATGGTGAAGAGATGTTGACAGGGTTTCGATCAGTTTGATAATACCTGAATATCTTACTAGGATTTATATCAACGAAATATTGATAAACCGACTGTGGTCTGCTAGATTATGCCGCAGTGATAGGAATACATTTCGAGTAGGTGAATTTTCATCAGTGTTGTAGATTTGTGTTTTTCACGTGATCATCTGCAGCATCTCCAGATCTGATGCGTGATGTGGCCGGCTGTTTTACATCAAAAACAGGGATTATTATAAATTATCAGTGAAAACACTCAAAAAGTTACAAAAGAGATAACATTGAAACATCACGCACATTTTAACTTATGCCTACGCATTCGTATTCTTCATTAGTAAAAGAAATGTTTCAGTGAAAGATGACAGTAATCGTATGTCTTTCGGCCTTTGTTTCGACTGCATTTGCCTGCTCTTGTGTGAAACCGCCGTCCATTGAGGACGCCTTTTACGCAACAAGTTTAGGTCAACTTACCACATTCTTAATGATCCTTTAGGTGTGAATGGAAGGATATGAGACTCAAGTTATTCAAGAATTATGCCAAAATGCTCTTGTTATCATAATACTATAGTCTGCGGTCTACGAGTAAATCACAAAACACTATAATAGTCATGACGAAGTGACCAATGAGACCAGTCTCAACAAACTGTTTGGTTACAAATCCTTAACAAAGTGCTTCTTGCTTTTGCAGTGATGATTATTCCAATAATTTCGCTATTCGGCAATTATTGTATTTTTAGTATCTCAAGTAGAGGTTGTATCGTTCCATAAACCAGGCAACAATTCCCACACGTCCGACTCGTCCTACAAGCTCAGATATTTACTGGTTTATAAGGTGCCAGAAATTTTTTTTGAAAGGCTGGCATGTAGACTGTAACGATCGAGACTCCGTTAAGCCTCATGATTACCGTACGCTTTCGTCTATTGTATACACCCCCTTCGATGACTTATGTGGTCTCAAGATGGAAGTTGGAAAAGAATATCTTTTAACAGGTAATACTTGTAAGGCTCATGTAGTTTAAATACTTCTGAAATATCTATGTATCCCTAATTCATAAACAAATCAAGCGAAAAAGTATCAAGAAGGAGAATTTTTTGGCCAGAATACATAAATGAAACTGCATTGTTAAGTACTGCAGTGATCCAACTCAAGCAGTTCTATCAACCGAATGCAATTATAAAAGATAAGAGGATAACTATTCTTGCGTTGTCAAGTGTCTAAGGGATCGTGCATGATGTTGACTTCACTAAGCACTGTTAAAGGATACAGAATGCACAGCAGGCTCGTGGAATAGCTTGCCACTATCTACCGATCTACTACTTCAGTGCTACAATCCCCTTGGGCAGGTTTGGTGCTATCTCGCTAAGCCGGGTCTGAGGAAAGGTTTGGAGAGTTCACGGCATGCCCGAACCACCGACCTTGTGTGTATTACAGGGCATCCCCAACTTGTACAGACGCGCTTCTTGATGGTATGTAACCTGGATCTAAAACCTACGAACAAGGACTATCTGGCTCCAGAATGGATGGAACTATATCTACACATGCAGCATTTCCTAACATAAACTAGAGTATGGATGAAACAAGGTTCGACTCCCGCTTGAGGTCGTATTTGTGCTCACCACACTGTTCTCTTAGGTGTATATGGAACGTCATAACACTGCGAAAAAAGGCAGTAAAAACGCGAGAAATTTAGAGTATAAGCTGGAGTTTAAGTACACATGAGAGCTGTTTGTTCAGAAGGAATGTGTCGTAGACGGTTGATATATTATACATCAACTTTATCATTTCTCTCTATCAACCTCTAAGGATGCTTGGTGAAGTTGACGCCGTGGCAGTTCTCTCAAACGTTCGTCGATGCCAATACCACTGTCCACTTACTTTTTGTAACTGCATTCGGCTGATAGAATCACGAACGTTGGGTCACTGCAGTTGCTAACAGTACATTTTCAACTATTTATACTTGCCACAAATACCGCATCTGATGATTTTTGGTCTAACCTGTTCAAGAAAATGCTATGTGTAAGCGGCTTGAATGATTTATAACCACATAAACAGTATGAATGTAACTGTTAGAACTTACTCTTTCTCGACTATCATTTTGAGGATAGATGAGCTGTCAGAGAGCGTGTACACAATTAGAGCCAAAGGACTGGTATCGAAATCACGAAGCTTCCAAACAAATTTTCTATATCGAACCGCGTTCCATCCATCCGGAGACGCGTGCTCTACCACTACACCACCGAGGCACGTTTGCTCCGCGACCACTCATTCTTCAACATCTCAATGTTGGCTTATCAGCCACCATCAACCTTTGGACAGTTTTGGGTCGGGTGTAGTGGTAGAGCAGCGTCCCCGCATAGGATGAAACGCGGGTTCGATTCCCGCCTGAGGCCGCCGTTTTTTGCTCACCACTCAATTCCTTTAAACTTTCATTGTTTGATCGCCATTCCATGAGGTTAGGGTTATGGTCCAGATGGCGACTATCGGCGGACAAATTTTCTACAAGTTCACAGCCTGAGCGTATTTTTAGATTCAACACGGGTCGTATTTTTATGTGCACACTGTTCGTATGCCGAACATCCTAGATGATCGTATATAAGACATTCGACCCCTAGGCGACAGTTGATCACGTTTCATCTTTACGGATGACTCTTGTAATCATTGTGCCGATTTGTGCTTATCCGACCAAATATTAAGTTGGGAGGAAAGTTTTGAGACACTTGCAAAAAATTGGAAATTCACATATGAATTTCAAACAAAAACAATGCCAGTCGGATGTAATAATCGAAATTGATGCCATGATCGAATGCGGCCAGTCCTTCGACTTCGAATCAAAGAACTCTTGATATGCTTCTTCTACTTCATTGAATGACTTAAATCGGCCACCCTTCAAAAAAGTTTCATTGATCGAAAAAGGCCAATGTCGGCTGGGTAGCGCACTCTTGGGTTTATAGGCGGGATGCGGCAGGATGTCGACTCCCGTTTTAGTTTCATGAAACTTCTCCTTGCTTTTGGCAATGTGGCGGTGCTGGCATTTGTCCTTGCCCGTCTAACGCACTTTCGCTTGACCAAAGCCGGTGACCAGGATCAAAACCCGGCACGCAGCGCGATGGGCAGAAAGTCATAGAAAACGATGGGCCTTTGTTTTGAAGATTGTTACTGGGGCAGTGGTTCCTGTTTGGAATTCATGCATAAATTTTACACCTGATTCTT